TGTTCCGTGCAACTGATGCATATTTTAATCAAGCTTCTCTACAGTGTTCATAAACCTAATCAAGAATTTCATTCCTATACTCAGCGCTACTGCCTCTCGTGGATCCTCATCTCTGGCACCCTCCATTTGTTTTCTCACACTGAGGGGTACATTGAGCACTAATGACACACACCAGTAATTATACAAGGGGATAGCATGAGGTAATATATGACTGCCTCTCTGCTTGACTATTATATGGCCAAAGCGAAAAGGCAGAAACTGCCAGGCACTCTAAGGGGACTGAGGTCAGGTCACAACTAGCTCTGAGAGGCAGAGGAATGAGAAAATTGAACTCAATTCACAGATTCAACTCAGCTGCACATATGTTCTGTCAAAGACGAACAACTCTGTGCCAGTGTAGAATATCAGGCTGACTGCCTCTGCTCACAGGATTTGGCTGAAACAAAAATTAATCTATCTGTCTGTTGGAGTGAATGCCCTGTGCAGCTGAGGTCTGAAGAAACCCAGTCTTGCATCACTGTAGTTGTTATTGCAAAGTTACACACAAAATAAGGCCTCACAGTCCTTCAAAAGTTTTACTTCTATGAATATGGATTTTCCAGAACGAAGGGACAGGAGAGGTAGGAGTGATTTCAGAGAGCCCTGGTGATTTCCAGAGATTGGCTCTCTGCAGCCAACCTTACCAGCAAAAGTCCCAAGAACTGCAGTAGAAAGTAAGTTTAAGTGTCTTTGAAAATCACATTTAGGCTCCCACTTAGTTGCTATCCTTAATGATAGCAGCTGCTTGCATTTTTATTTCTTGTTGCAAACTGTTCCTTTGGTCATTTTGCTTGCTACTTTTTTTACCAGCAATAAGAGCTTCCTACCTCTCCTGATGCTATTTTTCACCCTTTCTGGCTTTCATAACAATGGATTCCACTTACACAAGTTCATCACATTTTTCAGAGTTCACTTATATTTATTTTTACTGGGTTGTTTTTCATCTCTGCTCAAAGAAAATTTTGAAATACATTCAAAATGTAAATGGAGCTCAGATTTCAATTGAAAAATGTGCTTGGAAGTGTAGACACACTCTCAGAATGGCATTTGAAATAGTAGGAACTTAAAAAACATTTCTGTAAATTCTGGAAAAATAAAAAATGTAGATTTTCCACAAAGTTCACGCTAAGCACATTGTGATATCCAGCTGTTCAATGCATACCTAGCATCCCTACAGTATTTTTCATAACCATAATTCTGTTTCTAGAAATGAGGTACGCTGAATTCTGTTTTCACATTTTACCCAGGTTAGAGAAACTGCTTACTCTTAGGCCATGGAGTCCAAGAATAGCTCAAATTACTTGTATTTCTTCTCTTAGTGCTTTGAGTCAGCAAAACAGAAAATGTCAAGGGATTGTTGAGGTATGCTCCAGGTAGAAACAAATTGGTAGAAACAAACTTTCATCTATTCTGTACATTAAGAAATCTCTGCTGGGTTCAGGACACACTTCTAAAACTGAAGGACATTTCAGATATTCTGATAAAAGAGAAACTTCAGAGAGCAAACTGATTCATGGGCAGACAGATGTGTTTTAAAAGTAAATACACTGGGGAAATTTTTCCCTCAACTACCAGACTCTGCATTAACTTGACTTACTTTTGAGATGAGAAGGTTTTTATAATGATCTAAGTACACAAGGGATTGCCAGGCAAAGCAGCTTCTCCAGATGATCCGGACTTTGGGGTTACAGGGTGCTGTAGATCTCACAGAAAAAAAGTTTAAATTGTAGCTTTAGATCAGATTTATGCATGTGCATAGTTACCTCAAAATTATCATGAAGTATGTCTAACACAGGCAAATAGAACAGATTTGCACTGGATTGAGATTGTAACTTGACTTCTGGTCTCCTATTTAGAATAACACTGAGGTTTGCTTTGTAGAAGAAGAGATGAGAAATTATTAACCTGAACAAAACATGATCAACAACAACAACCATAATAATAATTACTATTCTGGTCGGGAAGAAGAAGAGTGCCCATAGCTCTGGCATTTAAGTGATGAAGTCATATATCTGCACGTGAATAAGATTAAAAAATATATATTTAAACAGTATTCAGACTTTTCTGTCAGTCCTGTAGGCCAAAGGACTGATAGAGAACAGCTGTCCAAAATCTGTATTTCATACCACTTTTTAAACAATTTTATATTTGAGTAAATGGCAGTATCTCAACTGGCCCAAAGGCAAATCTCTTAGAGATTGTGAATGCTACACTGGCATCTGTTCATCCCCTTATGGACATGCCTAAACTTAGAAGGATTCAGGACTTCAGTATGTCCTGTTGAACACCTTAAGCATCCCCACACCCACCCTGTTGTCTTCTGATTGTCACTCCTAAGCCTTAGTCATTCTTAAATAATTATTATTTTTGTTTATTTAGTTGTTAAATAATTATTTCTGCCTATGTCCTGAGAGCCATCACCTGAGAACTGTCATGGCTGGGCCCCTTGAGGAACTGAGTTGTAGAATCACTGGGACGCATCTAAACTCAAGAGCAGATACATGCCATATGATATGAAAAACAGCCCTCCCCTGCAAAAAAAAACAGTCCAATTGATATGTTAGAGAACTCCATGGCTGTTTCCCCAGCCATGCACTGCATTTTTTTCAACTGATTGTCTGCTTGGGTAAGGGGAGAATAGTGTTCATTCAGTTCTCACAGTAATACTTTCTTGAGAGACATCTGCATGCAAAAACTTGGAAGCTGTTCTTGATATTTAGGTATGCATCCTATCTCTAGTCTCTGTTTCTTAAATAGAGAAAATGCCAGTTTTCAGTGTTTCCAAATGAAACAATCACAATTTTTGTGGCATGGAGATAATTTGAATAAATATTACAAGGAATTCAAGTGTTGTGGGATTAGCCTTTATGACTTAACCTTGAGAGCCATATAAGACTTTGACAGCTTAAACATGAAATGGATTGTTTCTTGTCCTTTCTCTTTCTTACCTACCCAATCAAGCTATTACAGGTCCCTGGAGAGACCAATATGCAAAGGCAAGGGAAAGACCTATAAATCCAGATATTTCTTTCAGATATTATATCTAGCTATCTGAGAGCTACTCTAGCTGATAAGTTAAATTTTCTCCTACTGTCTTTGTGTAGCATTCAGCAGATTTGCCTACATAATGATAATGTTCAGGAGGCCTCAAATGATCCTTCTTATAAGATTTCTGACACATGAACACCTTCTAAAATCATTTATCTCAAAATTTGGCCATCTGAAGTTATCTTATCCGAAGTAATAAGAGCAGGAAAAACCCGCAGAGTGACATATGTGAGGTGAGGAAGAAGCACACATCACTAGAAGTGCTCACTCCCCCAGCCTTAGTTTTGTTGGCCCTCTTGTTTCCTGTTTTCTTTCTTGTAGAATGGAGTCGATCTCTCTCAGTTGTCTGCGTTTGTTTCTGGTCTCTTTCCTCCTGCATGAACATTTAGCCCGGATATGTCTGTTCCTATATATGGTAATACAGTTGTGAATCTTCTGGAAGTTGACCAGTGTAAGTGTGGGGTCTGGGGTTCCTAGTGCAGTGAGTGGAGAACTACAATTGAAGCGGTGAAATAAATTCACCTGTGACAATTCAGCCCATGACGACAGTTTTAAGTGTCCTTATTCAGAAGCCTGTAGTATGAGGACTCAGTTTGTTAAAAGTTCACTCGCATCTCTAGAAACACCCATATTTGCAGCAAGGTTTTCTTCAAACTATTCAGATCAGATTATTTTTATTCCACCTCACCAAAATGCCACAAGTTGTTTACAACATTTCTTGAGGAAAGGAAGGGCAGCTGTTCCCCCAAATACCTACCTTAATTACATGGTTTCTTAGCTGCAGCACTGCTGCTCATAGTTCAGTGGTTGCATAAACTCCCCAGTGAGAAATCTGAACAATATTTAATTAGCTTGGTCCTGCTGTGTGATACTTCAAACACCCTGTTTACCCAATTAAGACAAAGGTTGCATGATCTTATAGTTAGTGAGTACCTCTATGTACTGAGACTTGCAGCTGGAAGCCACAAATGTAAAATGTACATCTCTCTTTGTAACTCTTAATTGTGCTATGCCTAAATAACACAAAGCAGATACAGAATAAAAGAACAAGAAATCCTTTTCAAAACTCTTGGTTAAAACGTCTGCATGATACAAAGGAAGCTCAGCTCATAATAGCGTTCAGGTCCATCGCATGTTCTGTAACAAGAAAATAAGACAATAAACATTTCAGACGGTTTTTAGATCTCTAATGATATGCTCAATGAAGGAATCTTCAAATAAATGCAGTCTCCAGCACAAAGAATATAAGACTACTATATGTGAAATGTACCTGAGATGCAGATCTTACTAGAAGACAGAAAGAGAGGAAGGAACTGCTTAGCATTCATACAGCTGTTCTCTACTCATTCCAATAAAAATGTTTTAGTCCTAAATACAGAGTATATCCAATTAATACAACACAGCTTTTACTAACACTTTTATTTCATTTCACTAATGGTGAAAGAATTGTCTCACTTATTTACAAGCACTGAAGATACCTCTTTCAGTCTGGAGATCTTCCCATTCAGAAGGAAAATCACAACACATTGCACTGTTTCATGGAGCATCACAAACTGCAGTGCTGTTCTTTTGACTCAGGAAGAGTCTACTGCAATGTATTTAGTGTTTCCTAAAGAAAGACATTGCTTCAGCCCCCGTCTTGCTATTATTTTTCCAAGTGTGAGCTTCTGCTACCCTCACAAAAAACTGAAAAATCTTTAAGGCCTATATCAATGTTTCATAGTATGATTGAAATATGATCTTCATTTTCTTAAACTGCTTTGAAAAGAATTGAAAAAGGAAAATTTGGGAAAAAAAATAAAACAACCAAAAAAAAAACAGGAAAATTTGGGTCAATTTGATTTTTTAATAGAAAATAAAGGGGGGAAAAAAAATCACTGAATTAGGGTGAAAGTCCATTTTGCATCAGAAAGCTGTTTCCAGGCAATTCTAGTGGTAACGTGTGTTAGATATCAACATGAGTTGTTTGGGTTTTTTTTCAGATCACAGCAATAGGTACTTGTACATGGAAAATCTCAAAGGAAAATACTGGTCCTTCGAATGAAATGCCTGGGATGTTTTTCCTGAATATTTAAAAAGAAATTAGGTAAGTTGGTTTCAAAATCATATTATGAATGAGGAGTATTTCAAAAACTGTAGTTTTTACTTATTATTTTTTAAGGTTTTACTTATCAGAAGATATCTCTGATATTAATCTTGACTTTTCAAAAGCTTCCTTCATGTAAATGTGTGTTATTAGTTGTGCTTCATCCTAGAAGTCAATCTGCTCTAGCACTGGGGAATTGATGTGTTTGTGTACAGATGCTTATGTGGGTGAGTGGCAGTGAGCACAGTAATCTCCTACCCAGTCACACTGATTGAAGTCACTTCTACTAGGTGACAAGGCAGCTAAAACTTAGGTGTTGCTATGGCTGTGAGCAACACACACATATTTCCACATCCTGTGTTTTCCAAGTTTTTGATCATACTGGTGTCTGTCTTTGGAATTACACCTTTACAAAGATACAAGCAGTCTGGCAGCACTGAAAAGACTGGGAGAAATAGCTAAGCAGTTTGGGTGAAGTTTTGGGAGGGTCACTGTCACTAGCATTTCTGGTCTGACGAAATTGTTTTCCTGAAATTTACACTTTGATGAGATACTTAAAACTGTCTCTACTAGGTGGATCTAATGCATGCGATGTATGTAAGGACTGATGACTAAAACTAAGAGGATGCAGTAATGCGTACTTTCCAGCAAGTCCCCAGCGTGAAGAAACGCCAACCTCATTATAAAATATTGTCCATTCTAAGAAGACGAATGTAAGTACTTTTTGAAGATTTTCATTAAGCCTTGCTTTCTGTAATTTCATATCTAAAAGTTTATTGCCTAATAAATTACACCAAGAATGTGTTTAAAAGAGGATTGAGAGATAGATAGAATGTATATTGCAGGTGAAGTGATTAGTAGATCTCAGATAGCAGGAAAAAAAACAAAATCATACTGGCAATAACTTTTTCAACCTCAAGCAAAAACCTATCCAAAAACTTGTAGGAGTGATATCCACCACTCAGCCAGTTGGAGCTAAATTCAGGAAGAGCTGTTACGCAACCGGTTTCCCTTTTAGACATCTGAGCCTGATATTTATGCAGAGCTAGCAGTAAAAAACTCCAGGCTCAACTGCTGTTTAAATTGCATTGGCACATACGGCTACATCCATACTAATAGCTTTAGCTGTGCCAGGGAAAGTTCCCAGGCACTGGAACTTAAACTGTTTATTCCCTTACATCGTCAGAGGGGTCTTTGGCTTGTTTTGAGTCCATCATCCCTGTCTCTGCAGTAGTTCAGGACTGAAAAAAACAGAGAACGTTTCCATGTGACTATACTGGTGTGGATATTCTCCTTGGTGGCTAAAAAAGTTTAATGATATAAGTTTCAGGATGGCCACAGAGTCAAAGGATGGTTGAGGGAACGTTTAACATTTTATAGCATAGGCATATGGAAGGGAAATCGCCTTAGAAATATCACATTCATTTCTGCATTGATGCATATGCAGATTTTCATCGAGTTCTTGGCCATGTTCATAAACTGGTAGATTGATCTGGTGAAGGGAAGCATTCCTCAACCCTCTATCAAATATTTCACCAGAATTTGTGCCCAGGAAGGGAATAGAATTGAGTCTATGCATACAGAGCGCCCAAAGATTCCTGGTCATGTCAAAGAGCTGGTTGTTAGATGAAGGGACATCAGGCCTCCAACTAACTAGTTTAGTTTGTTATCACAGCACAAAACATGGAAGTGAAAAATAAGGCCTAAATATACGCATATGTATAGCCAAGGCATAGGAAAAACTTATTTCTCACAGCTCAGAGGATCCACACACACAGACCATCTCTTCTCTAAAACAAAGTGGTCTTTTACCTCCATTTTGAATACTGAAACCACATTTAGTTACATGAATAAATAGCCTTCCTTTCAAAAATGTTGAGTGCTCTTGAATCCTACTACAGTCATGTTCCCACATATTAAAAATGCTAGGCTGGAAAAAATTCTAAGCACTGTTTAGTAGACAAAAGCCCAAAGGTTTTGTTTACAGACTCTTTCACAGAAGAATAATCAAGCTCTTTGGAGAGCTGTTACTCCACTTACTTGCTAGCCTTATTTTGACAGCCTTTGCTAGTTTGCCCTACTTTGAAAAGGGTAGGTTGATGTGAAAGCCAAAAAAGTGAAATCATATTTGCTGTCAAAAAAATAAGTGTGCTTTAAGCTTTCATCTGCCACTAGCAAGTAATCAAATATGGCAGTGGTAGCAGCCCTTGTAGTTAACCCAGTGTATGTTCATTAAACAGCAGGAGGTACCCAGAGTGTTTATTTCAATAAAAACAATTAAGCATATATATGCATATATATATATATTCCAGTGTTAATGATTCCCTGTTGAGGGAGCTGAAAAGGGAGTGCTTCTTGAGTTTCCAAGCGTGATTATTAAAGAGAAATGACTGTCAGTCTTCTAATCTGGGTGAATGCCAAGCAGACCAAAGGTGAAAGAATGGGAGAAAAAAAGAAAAGAAAGAATACTCAGGGCTCATTATCAACGTACTCTTACTGTTTTATTTTTTTACATTGTCACAAATGAGCTTCACAGTTTTCCCTTTGTTATGAAACCAGCGGCCGTAACACGATACGTTTTCCATTACATCACAGTGCTTTTACACGTAAGCCTGAGATGATTTCTTCCTAATTTCTTTCTTGGAATCATTCATCATTTTCTTTATAAAATATTACCTCTTATACTGCTGTTTCCCAAGCTTGTCCCCCATCTGTGGAGGATTTTGTTCACACTCAAGCTAGCTGTTTTTGAAAAAATGATGAGAATTTTCAGGCTCTCCAACGCTGTAGAGAAAGAAAAGCTGTCATGGTGCCAGCACACCATATTCTCTGAAACCATGGTTGTTAGGACTCAGACTATGAATTGGTTGCAGAAGAGATGAAAAGAAAAAAAGCCAAACTCTTGACATTATTCTACAAAGGAAAAATAAGTGAATAAATAAATCCATGACCCTGCAAAGGTGTGGTGCAGTTACAGGTTGGCTCATCCTGTTATTCAGAGTTAGTAAATGTTCATATGCTGTCTTTCATATTGCTGCAGACTGAGTTCTGCTGGCTCATCATGATTGTTATCTCTACTGGAAAGCAAGCAAACCTCTCATCTGTGTGATATTTGATGTGACATTCTGCATTTTAGCCAATTCCAGCTGGCTGCTCCAAAAAGGCTGGCAATGTTTCATAGGTACCACAGCTATTTCTCCTTCTTCAGTCCCCTGAAGTAGTAGCTATGGGACTGTACATTAAGCTGTGAGGTAAGGAACCATAAATACATATTCTATTATATTGAGATTTTTTACCACTTCTTTTACTGGCTTTGTAGTAATCCAACTGCAAAGATAACCTGACAAAAGATTCCTTCTCTTTCATCTTTTTTTGATGATCTCCTGTCTATATATCCCCTACTGCACTGTCTGTATTTCTCTGGACTTCATAATCTGTTTTAGAGCCTAAATTATCAAACCTCAACCATACAAACATAATTCCTCTCTGTCTTATTCATTCCTGTCTTAAAAAGGAGTTAAAGAGTTTATGTATGATCATTTAAGGAAGAAATGTAAGGCAGTGCAAAATAGTAATCCTCTGGCAGCATGAATTTCAACTGCAATCTCTTTATTTCTGTAGAATTATGGCTGAGGATGAGCTTTCTGGTAGATAATGTTCATTCAGCCCTTGACGAGAATGAATATCTGCTATGATCACATTACCATGCTGTGACTATGCCATAACCCTTACAAGAGTCCAAAATACACTCAGGAATATACTTTCCATTGACTCTTGTCAAAAAGAAAAGTTGGAGTAAATTTGAAGACAAATGGACATATGATAGCTATTACAATATCAAAACAGTTTGTTTCTATAGTATGGTCACAAGCAGTCATCAGGTAAAAAGTAAAAGATTTATAATTCACAATAAGTTACTGGTCTTTTTAATCGTGGATGAAAAGTTGTGGTTGGCATGTATCATTTATTATACACATACAATTTTTAAAAAGCTGTTTCATTCAATTCATATAGAATAAAATGTAATTGATAATGTAAAATATTGCAACCTCTACGTTATGTTTTCTTAATAGAAATTTTTCTAGTTTTTGCCATTGTCATACATTTTCTGTTGATGCTGATGTTGCTGAATCAGCTTGAGGGATGTTTGTAGTTATAGATGCATGTGTGAGATCATGCAGAAGAGGGTTCAGCCCTGTCCTTCAAAACATTCTGTTTCTCAAAACAGTCTTAGCTGGGAATTTTGCTGCTGAATCACTAGGAGCTCAAAACTGAGGAAGGTTCAGTTTGATGGGTTTTATATTGGGAATGACACGTCCAGCTGTTATGTAGCCATTCTTCACTGAAGATCATAACAGTAATAAATAGTTTTGCCTCACTTCATCTCCCTGAAGAGGAGGTAAGCTTCCGTGAGACTGCAGCATCCACTGACTGAGGCAGTACAAACAGGTGAGCCAGGTGTGAGTCTTTCTCACCATTTCCTGCTATTCACACTGCTACCTGGTATACCTCCTCCCAAGTGAGAGCTGTGTTGCCATATAGTTTTATTTTGCCAAAAGGAAATCTGCCAGACCTACCCCACCTTAAGATAAGAATTTACTCACTGCTAGTCATCTCTTCAAGGCTGACATAACAGAGATGTACAAAGCCATCACCCTGTTGGTGAAGACAGCCTTGTTGTGTGCAAATTCCTAGCTAAGTTTGAATTGAGTCATAAATAGGCTAGAGTCATTCTGTGAACTGGCTGAGAGAAGAATCTACTAATGCTTTGAACCACTCCACAAGGCTTTTATTGCTCTGATACTGTCATAATTAATTCCAGTATTTTCAGTCTGGAAATTAAAATCTAAGTTTTTACAGCGTATTGATTCCTTGCTTCAAAACAGTGCCTCCTATTTCTTTCCATGGAAACTACACCATATACAAAGTGCAAAATAGCAATTTCTGGGAGAGCAAATTCTCACCTCCAAAACAGTTTTTCAGCACAGTCACCACCATTGGCTTTGCATGATCACCAGTGATAAATAAGAGCACACCACACTCCTAACAGTCTGTACCGGAGGGGGTGACACACTGTCACTGTCACCACTGCGGAAACACACCACCTGACTGTGCTCACATCCACTGTTTGGTGCCCATAAATATTCAGCAAGCATCAGTGGATGTCAGTGGGTGCTGGTTTTTTCCATGGAGGAATTCAATGACACACTTTTGCCTAATATGCACTTCCGTGTTAGATGCCATTTTGTCAGACTGCTGCTCTGCTGCCATGTGTCACACAGCAGCGAAATGTAAAGGAATACTGGTGGGAAGGTTCAATCTCTTGCTGCACCACCAACATCTGCCTCTGATGTTGTGAGCCAACATAATAAAACAGGAGGCATTACTTTTGGAGCAGGTCTCGTAAGATGAAGTTTCTGAGGTAAATATTTAAATTGAAAGTATATTAGTATTTGTGGCTGTTCATTTATTCTTCCCTGGGTACGTGCTGTAGGTTGTTTTCACTGGTCACTGAAATTTTCATCCGAGCTATTCTGCCCATTCCTGTGTTCATTTGGACCCTCTGCTTTTAAATGAGTCCATACCTGTCAGCGTGTCTTAGTGTAAGTGCTGCAACATCTCTGCAGGGAGACAACGTTCATCTCTGGTGCCCATCTGCTTTTCTCACAATGTTGATTTGTTGATCAGGCTCCACTTACAATGTATGCCGGTG